CTTCAAAAAGGAGGAGGTTCTCAATTCGACTGTATGTTTTTTTTTTTTTTTTATTTTTTTTTTATGTTTGTTACCTCAGAACTCCGTCATTTATTAACCGATTTGGACAATTTTTGTGTCGTTTGAAAGGGTATACTTCCAGATTGGTCCCATTTAAATTTCAAAAAAAAATACCACCCCCAAGGGTGGAAAAACAACGAATGATGAATTTAACCTACTTCTAATTGTCATATTGACTTGAAACTTTGCAAGTATTTCTATTTCCGTTGATAGTACATAGTTCGGTGTTGTTGACCTGATCTGATGGCAAGGCCAGAAGGTGGATGGAGAAACTTTTCAACGGCTAACAGTAGATACTTTGAGTTTGGGCTTATTTTGTTTGATTTGACAAGCCTAACACGTTAGAATTCTTACTTTTCTACTACTGTCTACACTAAAAAGGGAAAAATAAAAACTTTTTAACAAAAAAATAAAAACCGACTTCAAACAAAAGCACTAAAAAGTAATAAATAACTGATTGGTAGTTTTCATTTACTATACATACCTAATCAAATATTTTCGAAGTCGGTGTGCTTTGGCTAAGTAATTAAAGCCTACCTATTAAATACATACCTAATCCAATATTTTCGAAATCGGTGCCAGCCCATACAAAGCAAAGCACACCGACTTCGAAAATATTTGATTAGGTATGTATAGTAAATGAAAACTACCAATCAGTTATTTATTACTTTTTAGTGCTTTTGTTTGAAGTCGGTTTTTATTTTTTTGTTAAAAAGTTTTTATTAGCAAAGTATTCTGATCAGTGTCAATTTATGACGTTCTTTAGACAAATACGAATAAAATAAAAGTTTTTAAGTAAATATTTCTTTTGAATTATTAAGTAATTTTTTGTAACCTTTAAATATAATATCTCTATCATTAATTTCGACAGCACCTCCAGGTAAATTTGTAAGAAATTAATTAAAATTCCAAGAAATCTATTAACAATAGGAATAAAAAGGATTTATTAGAATCTAAACACGATTAAGAATTCTGAGTCGAATCTGTACATTAAATATTTTTTGGAAAACAGTAATTATTATTGATACAGAAGCCGAATCTATAGTTTTTAGAAATTTTGTCTGTCTGCCTGTCTGTCTGTCTGAGAGCACATCACGATATATTTTATAAGTACTGTTGTATATCTAAACACTAAGCCCACCGTACTATCGTTTTTATATACAGTTTCTCCAAAGGTGCTTCTTTGTCGGAATGCCAAATCTCAAAAAAATGTTAAATATGTATGTTAATAAAAAATGTAGATAGAACCATTTACTGACAATATATTTTTAATTTACTATATATTTTTTGTAATTGGACAATGGACATCATATACATACCTACATATAATTTATTTTTAAATAAACTTTGAGGGAAACTTAAAGCTGGGTAGAAATTGATAGTTGGTCAAAAAATGCGCGTTCCATTATAGTTTAGTTTAAAGGATAGATAGCGACAAAGAAAAAAGGTAGGCGTTAAGAACAAAAATATAATGTATGTGTTAAACAATGTACATATTCATCTATTTTTAAGGTCCTACTTCTGAGCACGGGTCTGCCTTCAAGACGAGGGGGATGAGGTCAAAGTCCACCACGCTGGTGAAGTGCGCGTTGGCGGACATGTTCTTCGAAAAGTTGCTAGATTCTCTCGGACATGTAGGTTCGCTCACGATGTTTTCCTTCACCGTGAAACAAGTTGTAATCATGTTGGAAATGATTCGCACATGATAATGTCAGATGCGAAACCCGGGATTTGAACCCGCTTCACTCGGTTTCCCAAGCGAGCGCGTTACCATTGGGCCTTTTAAATATATTATTTCAGAAATAAAAATACACCTAATAATTTGAAAATAATGCCTGCCTACTTTAGATCATAAAACAGACTCGACGTTGTTTGCATTGAATATTTGATGTTCGAATCATTTTATATTGATTAGTGTTTAGTTTATTCTAAACGTTGTTGTATATACTATATGTGGTTTAATTTTCAGTCATGTTAGAGCTATTAAATGTATAATTATAAAAGGTACTATATTAATTCAAAGTCAAGATGACATATCATTGTCTTAACTCTAAATCTATACATATAATAAAATTGTAACTAAGCCAAATCTGTACATTAAATATTTTTTGGAAATTTTTATTGAAATAGACATTATTATCGATATAGAGGCCCAATCTATCGTTTTTAGAATTTTTGTCTGTCTGTTACCGCATCACGGAAAAACCACTGGGGGATTTTCATGAAATTTGGTATGGTGCTGGTTATCCGGGTCAACATACAGAATTTTACTTGAACTTTTTACCGCGGGAAAATATCTTATTTCTGAGAAAAAATACAAAAACTACAATGTAAAAGTATACTAATATGTAAAACTTAAGAATTTTGTTTTTGGTCACCTCAACGCGGGCGAAGCCGCGGGCAATGCTAGTGAACACTAAAATTTTTGAATATCAGTTCCTCTTTCTTCAAAAATGAGAAGACAGGGAAAACTTAAGTATTTTTTTAATGTATGTCGCGGCTTATTCGCCAATCTATTTCTACATATAATAAAATTTTGGTTTGAATCTGTACAGTAAATATTTTAGGAAAATCTTATTGAAATAGTCATTACTGTCATATATAGAGGCTGAATCTATAGGTTTTAGAATTTTTATCTGTCTGTCTGTGACCGCATATAAAATATCTAATCTCTGAGAAATCTATACTAACCGTTAAGATGTAACAAATAATTAAAATATAGGTAAAATTTAAATTAAGCTAACAAAATATACCCATTTTATCCGTAGAGTCTCATTTTATCTATCAACTGTTTCATTTGTTTTAAACTTTTAAATACGTATACTTATTCGTAATGGTGAGTAATTTGTCTCAACTCATCAAACAATTATTACATAACTAGTACTAATACTAGTGTAGTAAGTATAGACTCACCCTCGCTCCGCTCGAGTTCGTCCCTACTTACTACATTTTAACGTTTAGTATAGATTTCTCAGAAATGAGATATTTTCTCGCAATAAAAAGTAATATCCTATATGTTGACCCGGATAACCAGCCATCATCGTACCAAATTTCATCAAACTCTGTCCTGTGGTTTTTCCGTGATGTGGTAACAGGCAGACAGACAGACAGACAAAAATTCTAAAATTCGGCATCTGTATCGATACTAATGTCTAGTTCAATAAGATTTTCCAAAAAATATTTAATGTACAGATTCGACTCAGAATTTTATTACATATATTTATAGATAATAATAAGTTTCAAAATGTAATTCTAGACAATAGACATTAACTTTCAACTCTAAAGACACGCCCACATTGGGCAATTCTCTATTCAACGATGCAATGACGTCACATTAAAGAACACGCGATCGTAAGTGATTTGTTGTGATATGAGTTCAGTTATAATATGTACAGAGCAGCTGAAGTTTACGAGTGTCTTGTAGTTAAAAATGTATAATGTCACTATAAGTGCGAAAATTTGTATGTATGTATAAGAGATAAAAACATAAAAAAAAATGAAAACGGACTTCCAGGCACTAAAATATAAAAAATATCTAAACGGACGGAGGTTTTCATTTAGAAAAGAAACCTAATCAGATATTTTCGGAGTCGGTGCCTTTTTTTAAAAAAAGGTAACTTTAAGTTGATATAGACTCAGTAGTAGACTCATGACGTTCAGTAAAAACTTGTAATAATTTAATGCTGAATAAAATATTTTGAATTATGAATCTTATAAAAAAATTGTGAAGATCTGACGAGGATCTTCGGCGTGATGAGCAGAATAGCTCCTCAAAACGCAGTAAATCGTTCATAAAACTTTAGTGGTATATTAATTGATGCCTAAAAGTTTGTGCTCGCGAGGTCTACTGTTCGTAGAACTACTAGTAAATATTTCTTATGGAAAAATAGAGTTTGTCAGTAAAAAACAGAATTTGGGCTTCTGTAAGTCGAAACGAAATATATCCAGTCTGTGGATAATATCATAGTCCTATGTACTTACTACATAATATATTAAGCTATGTGTAGATCGAATATGACGTAAGAGGTGAATTTCTTTTATACATATTTAATTTAAAGACTACAAGAATAGAATTTCATTTGTAGTCTATAAATGGAAACTAATTTATAAGATACTCGAGCACCTGCTTTATTGGGTCAGGTTATTTCTTTTTATGTTTATGACGACTGATGTCACATGACGTAAAATAGATTACGATTTAAAAAAAAAGTTATTTATTAATTATTAAAGTATATATTAAACTAGAATTGCCCGCGGCTCCGCCCGTGTTCAGATGACCAAAAACCAAATTCGTAGGTTTTATATATTAGTATACTCTTACATTGCAGTTTTTGTTTTTTTTTTCAGAAATGAGACATTTTCCCGCGGTAAAAACTATCCTATATGTTGACCCGGATAACCAGCTGTCACCATACCAAATTAAAAAAAAAATCCTCCAGTGGTTTTTTTGTGATGCGGTAACAGGCAGACAGACAGACAGATAGACAGACAGACAGATAAAAATTCTAAAAACTATAGATTCGGCCTCTGTATCGATAATAATGTTTATTTCAGTAAGATTTTCAAAAAAATATTTAATGTACAGAATCGGCTTAGATACAATTTTATTATATGTATAGATTACAAAACAATGTATTACTCTATGTGTTCTTTTAATATTCTGCAAGTGTAGTTTAAATTATTTTTGGTATGATCAGAAATTTAAACAATTAAATTACTGTTAAATACAATATTTTTAATAAAAATCAATCAAGTTGAAATCGATTTTGTCGATTAAATATTAATTGATGGACAACACTACAACAAATGAATTAACTGTCAGTTTGACAGTCCACATTTTACTCTCTGTGAAGTCTGTGACAAATAGTACAATCAAATAGTACAATAAACTTTTGAGATTTGTTTACGAAAAATTGTGGAGGTTAATTATTTTGAAAATAATGACTGATAAAACAGTTCCTTCAAAACCCAAAAAGATGAAAGATCTATCAAGAGAAGATTTAGTTAATATGAATAAGAATGTAAATAAATTAACTTTTTCATTATCAGTTCTTAACCTCTAATGCTAAGATGTTTCAATTTTCAATGTATATGTGTTACAGGAACTAGTTAGTAAAATAATGCAATTAGAAGCTCATAATTCACAATTAAAGAACATAATAAGTAAAAATGTACAAGATAGTAGTGATAAGGAATCTGTGGGGAAAAAGAAACAATTTGATTTTTCAAAGTAAGTAACTAAAGTTATTGTTTACTTTTTAAATTTATTAATTTTTAATTAGCAAGAATTAATACTAAGTAATATTTCTAAAATATTTATCTGTTATATGTTATTTATATTGTGTTTATCGTTTCTAGTGTGTTAAGTTTTAGGTTTTTATTAGAACTTCTAACTACTATGTTGCTACGCTATTCTGTATAAAACCAAACTCGATGTCGAGTCTCACGTGTGAGGTAACCCGATCGTTTTTCGAAACTCATTCACTTTACCTTGGATTGATAATTTGTAAACTGTCCTCAAAACAAATATTTTGAGAATCCTTCCGATTCTCTCTGAATTAAGTTACTAAATTATAATTTTTTACCACAGTATGTAAGAATTTGTAATAAACTTTATTATTTAACCTTTAGTATTAAAAAATATACATCATTGAAAAAATACCTACATTTTCTTACATATTATTTTAACATTCCAAAAAAAAAATCAAACAATCTTTTTTGAGTTTTTAATTGACAGTTATAAGTCAAAAAAATCGAATTTGTGCCAAGTATTTAATAATGAAATACAGAATTTCAAATGAAGTAAGTTTATTCATTGATGTATTTTGTTGGTTTTTTGAGTTTTAAAGTAAAATATTAGATAATATAAGGGAACTCTAATAACTACTTTTTTTAGCATCATAGGGGAAAGAGCATCTCATCCCTCTCAGATTCAAATTCAAAGACTTTTAAATTTTTTTCAACAAAATCCAGAACTCGTTAAAGGCTTCTCTAAAATGCCTAGTGCAAGAGATGCAGCTCGCAGAAAGTGGGAAAAATTTGCAGTCGAGTTAAATAGAATGGGTGGATGTATTAAGTCATGGAAACAGTGGACCAAGGTTTTCATAACTTACAATATCATTTGTTCAGATATATATTATAACTTACAACTAACTTAATTTGATTTAATCAGTATTGGGCCGATAAGAAGAGTGCAGTCAAAAAGAAAGGGGCGTTAAGATTTCGCACTAGAAATGAGCCAGGAGGTTCTACTATAGAGCTCAATAGCACAGAAGAGAAGATATTAGCCTTAATGGGTGCTGCTAATGCTGCCATTAATAAACAAAATTTAAAAACAAATTCAGTAGAAGTAAGTGCTTTTTTATATACTTATTTACAGCTAGTATTTTTTTAAAACACATAAAAATGTTAAAATTTCAAAGCAATTGTTGGAAAACTTTCATTTAACTTCTTTAGGTCAGAATATGGAGTAAGTCAATATATTGAAAATATGAGTGTCGGGGAAATGAGACTCAAAATAAATATAATATTTATATTTTTATAACAATTGTCATTTATAAAATGTGTATGTGTAATATGTATGTATATATTTATTACTAATAATTTTTATTTTAATAATTTTTATTTCTTTGTTTTAATTTAATCATGGTATCTGCCACAGTATCAAAAAAGTTTTGCTTCAACCGCTCGTAAAGGTTACACTCACTCAATTCCTTTTTAGTTATTATAATATGTTTTATTTAATTTTTAAGTCAAATGTTAGCCAAGAGCATCGGCATAGATCCTATGTACTGGATAATGATATAGGTGATGCAATGTCACCTCTTAGAACAGTAAGTTATAATCTAATATATTTAAACAAGCAATTCTTGTATATTTATTTATAATGGCGATCTCGGAATCGGCTCTAACGATTTCGTATAATTCAGGTATTTGGGGGCGAAAAATCGATTTAGATTAATCTTATGTCTGGGAAAACGCGTGTTCTCGAGTTTTCATGCGGTTTTCTTTTACCATGCAAAATATGGTCGCTAATTTCGCACGCTCGGGCATAAGCATCGTGGCCAAGCGGCCAAGGCGCAAGATTAACAATCACAGGTGTTGGGTTCGAATCCCGGTCGGATATAAAGTATTTACTTTTGTGTTTTTTGTTATTTTTTTGTATTTATTGAAGTTTTTACTTTTGTTTTTGATCTTTAAAATATGATTTAACAAAAAAGAACTCCGAGCGAAGCTTGGAATTTGATATGTCATTATTTGTGTTTTTTTCTGTTTTTGTGTTTATATATTGTTAAAAATGTTCTTGCGTTTTAGGATCAAAATGCTACAAAAACTGCAAGTAATATTTTTGATGAGATGGAAAGCATGTGCTTACCGGAACCGAAGGTACTAACTATATTATACCGTTCATTTGATTAGTGTTTAATCTATAAAGATAAATAACATTGTAGTGTCTTTTTGTAATGTCTAAAACTCATATTCTATACTAAGCGTCAAAACGTAGGTCTATTAATGCTACTAATTTGTAAAATGGAAATGTGTGTGTGTCTGTTTGTTCCGAATAATCTCCGAAACGACCTGACCGATTTTAACAGGGCTAAAAAATTAAACGTACTTAGCGACTTACCCTCGCTTCGCTCAAGTGCGTAGATATGCGAATTGTGTTCACAATTTCATGGGTTTTAATTTTTTTGCGTGAAACCCTAATTCTTAACAAACATACACACACACTCATTTTCGTATTACAAATTAGTAGCATTAATAGACCTACGTTGTGACGCTTAGTATAGAATATGAGTTTTATGTCCCTTGCTTGAGAAATGATTGATTTTCCATACAAACTTCCACCCCCTTTGCACCCTCTTAAGGGATTAATTATTTATTATTTCCGGGGTCAAAACTATCCTATGTCCTTCCCAGGGTCTCAAACTATCTCCCATTCCAAATTTCATCTAAACCGATTCAGCGGATTAAGCATGAAAAGGTAACAGCCAGAGACAGAGTTACTTTCGTATTAATAATATTAGTATGGATTACTCTTAAATAAAACGCGTTTTAAAATTATTTCAGGCATCTCCTAGTTCATACCATGATCCTTTAGAACATACTATGTCACCAAATATATCACCGAAGGCCAGTGAACCTCCAAGCCCTCCTTCACCTTCAAGGTCAATAGATACCGAACCAGAAACATCTCCTAGACCTTTGTCACCTTCAGGGTCTAGGATACAACCTTCACCTTTGGAATTACATTCAGAGTCACGCAGAGAACCAGAAAGGAAATATCTAAGGGCTCGTAGGTTAGACCGGTTGCAGAATAACCCACCTTCCAATACTGGTAACTATAATCTATTTACTTGATATTGTTAAATTGCCTCAGTGGTCTAGCCGGCTACACATCCGGAGGTGCTAGGTTCGAGTCCTGGGTCGGGCCAAATTGTTGAGGTATTCTGTCAAGAAATTCTCATTAACATCCTGGTGTTGGGAAGTTGGCGGTGTTTTAGGGAGAGTAGTAGTTGTCGGTTCTGCGCCTGATCTATCAACATAAATATGAATTTGTCCGTAGTATGAGAGTGACAGGAATAGAGAGTGCACGTTGTGTCTGCGCGTACACTTGTGCACTATAATATCTCCTGCGCAGTTGGCTAGTCTCAATGAGATTGGCCGCCGTGACCAGAATCGGTCAGGACATTTTTATTATTATTATTAAATTGTTAGACTTACACTTTAGTGGTTAGCTGATCGATTACAAATTCTGTGTGCATGTGTGTGTATGTGTGTGCGTGTGTATACATTTGTGGACTTGTGTGCGTATATTTGTACACATAATGACTGTAATATCTCCTGCGCAGTTTCTTTGAGTTTAGCCATTGTGACCAAAATTCGGTCGCTTGTCCTAACTGATTAATTAAAATAGCCAAAAATTAAAATAGGCTGATTAGCCTTATTTAATTTCATATAAATCCGTCCATCCGTTCCAGCGTGAAGGAGTAACAAACATACCCAAACAAACAAATACAAACCTTCCTATATGTAGGAGCAGTCCGATTGTGATAAAACTATATATCATTGTTTTAGCTGCAAATCGTCTTCGATGTAGACGTCGACAAGTTATATCGTCATCTCGAAGATCTCAGTTTGCAACTTTAGCGGAAAAAATTTTAAGTCTAGAAGAGCAAAGAATCGAAATCGACCAACGAAATTCACTTATCTTCGAAAAAGCCGCCGAAGCCATGATGTTTATTGGCGAAGGAATGAAGATGTTAGCAGAAAATTCAAGAAAATAAGCCATATTCGTTATATTAATGTAGTATAAGTATTAAAATAATATATGAAAAATGCGACTTTTATTTTTTATACTTGCATTTGCACGTGGTTTTGCTCATGTAATTTTTATGAATAATTGCGACATTTCTGAAGTTTTCATCCAAATTCGTCCAGCAGTAACAAACATACACACATACAAACTTTTGCAAATATTAAAAATATTATTCTATTGACATTACATGAAAAGACCAACGACACAACTATGTTATAACTTACTATCACAACTTGAAACTACAAAAAAAATCTTTATAAAAAGGTTTCATACAAACTTTCATCCCGTATTTTACGCCTTTATGGAATGATTTCGAAAAATGCTAAAACACATTTATTTTATTGTATTGAAGAATATTAATACCAAGTTTCAAGTAATTCTGATCATAAACATTTTTTTGGATTGTATTATAACGTGTTTTCCTGTACGTATGAGATAATATCCCGCGGTAAAAAGTAGTCTATGTCATTCTCCAGCGCTCCAACTATCTCCATACAAAAAATCACGCCAATCCGTCACATGGTTTCGACGTAAAGAAGGACAAATAAACAAACAAACACATTTATAACATTAATATGGATAAGTCTGTATAATGGATCATTCCAAATGGGTTGTGATCGTATATCAATATTTGTTTAACCAAAATAATATTTAAAACAATGTTTATTAATTTCAAAACTGTCATTTCGATAGTTTTCAAGCAACTTTTGGAACAAAAAACAAGAGATCAATCTAATAATGATTAACGAAAAATGTGGCTATACTTTAGTCAAAACATACAATTAAAGAAAAACAATAATTCGCTAAAGCGGAATAATTAAAATTACCTTTTCGGATTTTTTCGCGGATTTATTTGCACGCGAGAGACTAATGACGTTTAAAACCTTATTCAAGGTAAAAAACCCGAAAAGACAGTTGTTATTAAATTTTAAAGTAATGATTACCACTTACCATGAACGAATTCATTCATGCCACGTACTTATGAATTTATTTTGAAGTCAGTGTATTTTTCTGGTTAAAAGTCAATATTTTCACTGAACAAAGCGCTAATCATATTTAAAATATATAAAAATTAAGGGTCGCAATTCGTCAAGTAACACAGAACTTCTATATATCTACTCTTGCAATTCGATGATGCGCCGATAGTATTTTTGGGTTTTAATGAATACCATTTAGTAGATTCGTAGGACACTTTCGAGATAATCGCGGATTCAGATGTCGAGTTACGTTAGTTTTTACAGAATAGCACTTGTAATATCTATCTTATACATATTTTTCTTAGATTTAAATAGTAGCAATGTTATACTTTCTTAAATTTACGCGAATATTTCATATTTTAAATAAAACTATCTTTTCGGATTTTTTCGCAATATTAGCTGTAAAAATAAAAACAACAGTAAAACTGTTTTCGCATTTTTTTGGAGTTTTATTTTTATTTTTGGTTCCGGAGGTTTAGAATGATTTACAGCAATCATGGTCACGGAAAAGAAAATTGTAGGTAGGCACTGTCTGTAACAAGCATATAATGACCTTTGAGACGTCTAAAACCCTAGTCTCTCTCGTGACCATGATTGCTGTAAAGCATTCGAAACATCGGGAACCAACAATCTAAATAAATCCGCAAAAAATATCCGAAAATAAGGTTTTATTTAAAATTTCATTAGGTGTCATTACCGGCGAATCCTTCTCCGCATCTCATACTTTGGCTGGGACTACCAAGGGTTGGCGGTGCAGGAGGATTCTTCGCACACCATTGAACACCATTTGTTTCATGCTTTAACAAAATCCTGCTTGATTGAAAAGAGAGAAACGTCTCAATACCATAGATGTGGGCGTACTGATAAAGGAGTTAGTGCTTTTGGACAGGTGATGGGTTTTTTTAATTTTTTTCTTTTTTAAATTACGTAACTCGTAACTTAACTCGTCAAGACTAGCGACTTGCCTTTGCTTCGCTCGGGTGCGTCGGCGTCGCGAGAAAATAAATAATTTGTTTTACATTTTTGTAGTGAATAAATATGTTAATTTATACTTATATTATAAGCGGAAGATTAAATTCAATTCTATTGTTATTGGCTTCAAAACGTGACAGTTGAGCATAGATTACTTCGCCAATGACACGTAAAATTCAGAAGATACGAAGGGTAAAATAAAGACCACTAAAGCTACGTTTAAAAAATATAATCTGGCTGTTTTGACAGTCAGCCAAAAATAAAAGTCGGTTTGGACCTTGGAGCCTATAATTTAAGAAAGATTTTTTTATTTACCCGACTGTAGCGAAGCCTAAAGAAAGGTTATGTGTTTGACCTGTTTGTAGGTATGTCCTATTAAAATTCAAAATGGTGGACTCAAGGCGTCGATTTGTCTTGAAAATCTCTCTTCCAAACTTATCGAGAGGGGTATCAAAATGAAAGTTCTTAAGGAGCGATCACAAATATATATATATATATATATATATATATATATATATATATATATATATATATCTTTTAAAGGTGTTTTGGGATAAGAAATTGTTAAATACGACTCAAAAATAAAAATAAAAAACAAAAGAGCTCTAAATAAAAAAAAATACCTACTTAATATTTTCTTAACTTGTTCCCGTTTTAGTTCACTATTTACGGAGTTGGGTTTTTTATTATTTAATTATATATAACTAAATAAATTATGAAATCTATTTAAAATAACTGAATTTCAGGTAATATCAATAACTCTAAGGAGCAAGTTTCCACCAGAAAGCCAAAACTCAAACATATCTTCCGAGATGCCATATTGTAAGATACTAAACAGATTGTTGCCAAAAGAAATAAGAGCTCTAGCGTGGATGCCTATACCTGATGATAAGCCTGAGTTTAGTGCAAGGTGAAAAAAAATTTTTTTTACTATAAAAATAGATGTAGCCATTTTTTTGTGTTTGTTGTATGATATTACGTCCAATTTATAAGTTTATTTTTTTAACGTAACAATTATTTTTGGATTTCGCGGTTTACTTAAAAAATATATTTGCTTAAAGTGAAATAATAGTGATTTTATAGATTTATATGTATTGTTAAAAAGTAACTTTTATTTTTCAGGTTCGATTGCAAGAAGCGCCAATATAAATATTATTTCCCGCGCTCCTCCCTCAATATAGAAGCAATGAGCCGTGCGTGCGCTTATCTCATTGGTTCTCACGATTTCCGCCATCTTTGTAAAATGGACGTCGGTAATGGCGTCGTTGAGTTTACGCGGGAAATTATTGCGGCGGATATCCGGGCGGTGGAGGAAAAGGACAATGATAGACGTGAGTTTTTTTCAATATAAGTTATTTTTTAATTTTATGCCCGTGACACGATATCTTTAGTTACCTTGGCTGTCTCTTTGGTCTAGTAGCTAGCATGTACGAGTGCAGATTCGACTGTTCTGGGTTCGAGTCCCGGATCAGGCTATAATATAGTTACTAAGTTTTTCTGTTAAAAAGCACTCATTTAGGAAATCTGCGGTGTTTACCATATTTGCATCAGCAGAGTGTTCTGCGGCGGAATAATAAGTTTTGCTCAATAAATTTTACTGAGATTGTACAGGATTTTTTTTTTATTAAAAACAAACGTGTGTGTGTACTTATGTACGCACGTAAGAAGTTATACTTCTTTGACGTAACAGAACAAAAATAGCTAAAGATTTCATCCCGTATGTTACAACTCACTGTTTTGTAAATGGAATACAGCTAACTTCATCATGTCGCTTTTTGGGTGTCGCTGTACGCGCGCATTGTCAAAATTGTACTCTCATTTTTTTTTTCAAACGTGCCAAAAGGAATATTACTTAAAAATATATGTTTTTAATTTTTTTTACGTAATCTGTTATTTAGATAAGTATTTTTTTTTATTTCAGCGACATCAATGTACATGCTAGTAATAGAAGGAAATGCTTTCTTATGGCATCAAATACGTTGTATTATGGGTGTGCTACTGTTGGTGGGTAATGAGAGGGAATCCCCTGATATTGTGAAGGATTTGTTAGATATTGAGAAAATTTCTAGGTAAGTTTAAATGTGAAAGTTTATGAGAATGGATGTTTGTTGTTTGATGCTTTTTAACGCAAAAACTAGTGAACGAATTTTGATGAAGCTTTACAATAATGTAGTTTATATTTTAGAGTAACACATGGGATATACTCGTATGTAATTTATAAAGATATAGTAATTTTAAGTGAAACTAAGTTTTCGATCATAAATGTTAAGGAGTATATGTTATAAGTTTGTGTGCATACTGTGTAGTTCTTTCTTCGATAAGCTTTAACATGTATGTAGTACATTGCTCGATGTGTATGCTACCCTGGTACTCGGTTTTTTTTTTACTTTTTGTATGAGCGTAGGGCGCACAGTAGAAGGAACTTCGTTCCTACCGATATTTGAAGTTATACTATTTTGGGATGTTTGGAAAAAAATGTGAGAGTAAAACTTTTACGATGCGCGCGCACACTGACAGCCAAAAAAACTTTTTAACAAAAAAATTAAAACCGACTTCAAACAAAAGCACTAAAAAGTAAAAAATAACTGTTTGGTAGTTTTTATTTACTATACATACCTAATCAAATATTTTTGAAGTCGGTGTGCTGGGAGTAAATTCATATAAGTCGTCATCAACATGGTCACGTGACGTGTTATCGGTAACACTCAGAGTGCCGATAGATGTCAAAACCAGATAAATGTAAACGGTTTTAATTTACAAATTTCAATTTAAGATCAAACAATTAGTTTGAATATCTAAAAATAACAACTGTTTGTTTATAGTTTTAAGTTTTCACTTCTGTCGGCAGTCCTCATGACTGCTTTTTTTTGTTTTTTGTTTCAGGAAACCCCAGTACAACATGGCATTGGATGTACCTTTGAATCTTTACGACTGTACATACGATTTGTACGGTGAATGGGTGTATGATCCAGATGAATTGAGGAACACAATCGCGCATTTACAAAATGAATGGACTTTGTATGGTGTTAAGTAAGTTATGTTTATATTTGTTATTTTATTTTTCAGCGGAACCCTAATTCTTTTTCTAAAATTAAAGTTGCCTAAGTTACTCCCTATAACATCGGCTATCTGCCAGTGAAAGTCCCGGCAAAACGTCCAGCCGTTTCTGAGATTAGCTAGAACAAACAAATAGAGAAACATTTTAAAAAAAAGGTTATCAATTTCATATATGTAAGTACCGTATATAATTTCATATGCATTTAGTAAAAAAAATGATTTTTTTTAACATTACAGACACTTCAATGTTATATATATTTATTATACATACCTTCCATTCCTTTATATGTTTCATTTCACTCCATTAATAAAAAAAACGAAAAATATTACAATTTTGCAAATGTTTAAATTTTAAATAATAAAGTATTATGTGTTTTAATTTATTGTACTCGTATTTCTTTTCAGAACAACCATGATAAAGGATTGTCTTAATAGCTTAGAAACGGTATATGATAATATGTCAAGAGGGAAAGAGAGGGAAGATAATAATGATACAAGTGAAAGGGACAGAGTTATGTCACATACGGACTGTTTGCTGCAAGGAGTCAAGCCTAGGGTTTATACTCCGTTGTTAGAAAGAGAAACATGTTGTAATTATCTTTATTGATTTATAGTCTATCTCGCTCTGATGTGTGTTCGCCTTGTCGTGGTGCGTTCTCATTAACGTCCGGTAATCTAGTCGGACGCGAAGCTAAGAAACGCACTGGGAGGTGGCCCACTTCGGTGGGCGGTGTACCATGCGGGTTGCTCCTGGTTCTTCTCTGATAGCAGAGAGTGGACCGTGGGAACAATTCCATGACATGGCATGAGCAGGCATGCCGTCGGGTTATTGTGGTTGAGTGAGTAAGCGAACCTGCGACGCCCCATTAAGACTGGGGAGGTTCTATGGGGTTTTAGTGGAGTACTAGCTTTGTTAGCTAGTAAATCCCATATAACCACTTGTATACAGGTGGTATACAGGTGGTATGCGTAAATGCATCCCAACATCATAAGATCAAAGGTCATAGTCTATTTTTCTAAAAATTTCATCTAAATTGGTATAGCCGTTTCAGCGAGAAGTAGTAACAAACATACAGACACACGTTACAGTAAATTTATTTATATTTTATTATTTGCAGCAACATTGGAAGAGAGAATAGATTATTATAGAAAAAAGAGGAAAATCGAAGATGTTGCTGAAAGTATGAACACTAAGTAATTTGAAAATACATAATTGTAATAAAATTTATGAAATTAAATAAACATATTAACTAATAAGTATCAACTTCTTTTACTGACTTCAAAAAAGTAAGGAGAGTTCATTTTTCTGTTTAGTGTTTACTTTTGGGGGTTTCAATAAACCATGAAAATCTTCAAAGATATTGTGGAAGCAACCCCATGGTTGTGGACATAATTTAACAATTTCTTATCCCAAATCACTTTTAAAGATATAAGTTATATATATTTTTGTGATTTTTATAGACCTGAAATCAGTATCTTTGATTTATAAGAATTTATATGAAATATATATACACTCGCGGTATCAAGAATCTAATGACATATGAATCATCAAAATCCATTTAGCCTTTAAGTATTTACGAGGGAACATAGGGTCGGACATACATAACCCTCCTTTAGGCTTTGCCGGAATCTGGTAAAAAAACTTCCTATTAAAATCTGTCCAGCCCTTTTTGAGTTTTCAACCGACTTCAAAAAGGAGGAGGTTCTCAATTCGACTGTATGTTATTTTTTTTTTTATGTTTGTTACCTCAGAACTCCGTCATTTATTAACCGATTTGGACAATTTTTGTTTTGTTTGAAAGGGTATACTTCCAGATTGGTCCCATTTAAATTTAAAAAAAAAATACCACCCCTAAGGGTGGAAAAAACAAATAATGATGAATTTAACCTACTTCTAATTGTCGTATTGACTTGAAATTTTGCAAGTATTTCTATTTCCGTTGATAGTACAGTGGTTCGGTGTTGTTGACCTGATCTGATGGCAAGGCCAGAAGGTGGATAGGTGGAACTCTTCAACGGCTAATAGTAGATACTTTGAGTTTGGGCTTATTTTGTTTGATTCGACAAGCCTAACACGTTAGAATTCTTACTTTGCTACTACTGTCTACACTAAAAAGGGAAAAATAAAAACTTTTTAACAAAAAAATAAAAACCGACTTCAAACAAAAGCACTAAAAAGTAAAAATTAACTGATTGGTAGTTTTCATTACCTAATCAAATATTTTCGAAGTCGGTGTGCTTTGGCTAAGTAATTAAAGCCTACCTATTAAATACATAACTAATCAAATATTTTCGAAATCGGTGCCAGCGTATAAAGCAAAGCACACCGACTTCGAAAATACTTGATTAGGTATGTATAGTAAATGAAAACTACCAATCAGTTATTTTTTACTTTTTAGTGCTTTTGTTTGAAGGCGGTTTTTATTTTTTTGTTAAAAAGTTTTTATACGCAATTAAATAAACAGACACGTCTTATGATGATGTAACTAAAAGTGAGTGTCTAGTAATTATGTCAAAAATGATTCTCACAGGCTGATGTTCATCAGAGATGCAAGACCTGGGGTTTGAACCCACTTCACTTGGTTGTCCAAGTGAGCATGTTACCATTGGGCTATCAATAACCATTGCCTACATAAACTATCTCAATTCCGAATTTTAGTCAAATGTGTCAGTGAAGAAGTAGAAAAAACACTCGCCAAGTTTCGAATTTGTAGTACTCATTCACAGGAGCGTGCGTTGCTATGATGCAAAGAGACGGTATTTGGAGCTACAAATCCCCTAGACTCTCATGCTCAACTCATGTGGACTCAGTTTTCTGAAGGAGAGCCCCTTTGTATCGTAATTTGACAGAATTGTCTAGCAATGAGAGCTATAGTCCCTGGAGGCACCAGTTGGCGCCACTTTCGAGTGAGGTACTATCGCTGCCGGTAAAAAGTATTTGTTAGTGCGACAGGGACAGTAAATTTAATATAATAATTGTAATTATTAGCCCGAAAACAGTTCTATTAGGATTTTACCTAATTAATCATAACAAAATAAAAAAATGACTTTTCTTAACTCTTCTTTTAAACCAATAAGATCCCTTGTGCCTCACCGTGTCTGCCATAATTAATCAGAAATGGCACAATCTTCACAATAATCATGAATATTAGTGAAAATCCGCGGTAAAAAGCTCGCAAACAACGCACGTTCAGTACCATTTGACATTTGTAGAGACCTCACTCTACACTAGCGCTCTCTTGCGGTGAATTCCTACCGAACGATATACTTACCTACCTGTCTTTCCAATAGTCTGTATATATATATATATATATATATATATATATATATATATATATATATATATATCTAACGTAGCTCCAATAGTCTCTGTGTAATATTATTGTGACTTAGGGACGGACGAACAAATTACAAGGATTTCGTTTTTGAATTTTAGTTACAGAACCCTAATAAAAACTACCTAGGGGCGATATTTCCCAAATTTGCATCATACTGAGAAAATTTACCGCATGGCCTTGCCCGTTCATGTAAATAGCGTGAAAGTGTATACAACAAACGTCTTTACGTCTATCTTACTGACTACTTCTAATAAGATTTATACTTATATTATAAAGAGGAATGATTGAGTCTGAAAGAGCATAACTAATTTAAGACATGTGAAGTCCGCCAATCTACACTCGGCCAGTGTGGTGGACTATGGCCTGATCTCCCTTGTATTGAAAGGAGGACAATGCCCAGAAGTGGGACGTTGAAAAGGGCGAACTACATACATAAACACAAAACTTATTTAAATACCTAATTTTTTACCTTCGTTATATTTATGTACGCTATTTTTATTTCAGTAATTATAATATTTTAGCTTGAATATTATTTGAGAGTAGGTTTCTAGTAATTAGAGAATAATCTATACTTATCTTGCATCTTGCAAAGCGATGTGACACTTGACAGGCGGTAAGAACTGACTGATTTTCTTTGGCCCTATGTAAGTTTTAGTTGAAGCACGCTTTGAGATGTAGCCAATCCTGTGACTTCTCTCATGTAAGGTAGACTTGATCTTCTCAGCACAACTGCCTTCCGAGACAGTGGTTACCTCACGGACTTATATACTGACATTTAATTTCAATTTTGAAAATGCAAAAAGTGACGATTCAAAAGTGCTTGTGAAAGTCTATTTGAATAAAGTATATTTTGATTAGATTTGATTTGAGATGTGCTTGACTGTGGCTGGTTTCAAACGGTTATTGTGATGCAGGCGCGGAACTTGCAGCTCGTTGTCTCGCAGGGCTTCGTTGACATGTCGCAGTTCTCCGGCCTGGTGTACCTACCTTGTGAAACAAAGATTTTTCAAAAGTAGCTAACTGTGAAGGATTTTTCATTTAAAATGTCAAATGTTTAGGTAAATATAAGAAAGTATTATGTGGAAATAAGCTTGTGTGTTACCTTATCACGCGTAAACTACTGAACAGATTTCGATAAAATTTGGCAAGGTCATAAATTGCATCCTGGGGACGGACATAGCATACCTATAACTCGTAGGCAAAAACTGATGGGACTTAAATATCATCGGATTAAAATGTTAAATAACTACAAATTACATATACTATGGCACTTTACAATTTCTAAGCAAAATATTATATTTTTTTCTGTTCCCTTGCTGCCACTTAGGTATTTTTATTATTATCTAGCGACTCACCCTTCGCTTCGCTTCGTATTCGTTTTAATTATTTCGAGCGGAAAACTAATTTTTTTTCTAAAATAAAAGTAGCCTATGTTAGGTACTCCCTATAACATCAGCTATCTTCCAGTGAAAGTCCCGTCAAAATTAGGCCAGCCGTTTCAGAGATTATCCGGAACAGACAGACAGACAGACAAAAAATTAAAAAAAAATGTGTTTTTTTATAAGTACCCACCTTATAAAATTTCATATGCATTTAGTAAAACGCTGTTATTTTGACATTACAAACAGACACTTCAATTTTATTTATCTGTATAGAAGATTTTTGTTTTTATTAAAACTATCCGTGTACAGGAACATACGAAAAAAAATTTGCTGAATTGGTCGAGCCGTTCTCGAGTTTTGCACTTAGCAACATTCATTTTTATTTATATGAGAAGATAGTAATAGAATATTATGCCATACAGAACAACTTATACACATTGAAATATTAAGAAAGATTTGTAGAGATTTGAATTTTTCTTGTTTTTATTCTACTTTTGAGCTATTTGGATCACTTCTTTTGGCCCCAGTAATGGAATGGACATTAGATCTTTAAATAAATAAGTTTCGTTTCCGATATAAATTAAGTTAAAAAAGATAAAAGCTCAATTGTAAGAACATAAATTACATATATTCAGTACTTTTCAGCCTCTCACTACTGGGAATGGGCCTTCCCTTAATGCGAAAACTATCATCTAAAGTCTACCATGCTGGCCAAGTGCGGGTTTCATATGTCTGTCGAAAACTGGTTAGGTTCTCTCGGTTATGCAGCATTACGTACGATGTTTTCCTTTACCGTAAGGCGAGTGTAGTATAGTCATGTTGAAAATGATTCGCACATGAGAGTATCAGAGGTGCGAAACTCGGGATTTGAACTCGCTTAACTTAGTGTACAAGCGAGTCTATTATCACTGCTTCAGAGTTAATTTATAAAATGAAGGAAATATTTTTTCCATCATATCTTTATTTAATTTAGTATCAGTTAGTACTTAGTTCTTCTTATCTATGGGATTTATAGCCAAGTTAATGAATATTGAGAGAAAGTTATTTAAAAACACAAAATCAAATCGAAAACGATTCAGTAAATTAATTAATGAGGACAAATTCGTTGGTCGTGTACCTGCGTAGGTACATTATGGTAGCACAAACACAAAAGCCTGTTAACAAAAGGTAGGTCAAACAAAAAGCAAATTGAATACGACCTCTAAACAGGAGTGCATTTTGTATCCGTAATTATCCCTATAATGATTATGGCATTGTAAGCAAACCGGCCGCGGTAAGCGGACGTAATATTTCACTGTACATTACTTATGCAGTGTTAGACTGCCACGGGCGTGTAGCGGTCTTTGTCGCGTGCTCTAACAAAATTCAACTATTTCTTACCTTAAATAATAATATTCAGCCATTTTAGCAAGTTTTACTTCATTTTCGTTTGAATATTTAAGTCACACGTATAAAATTTACGAAAAAGCGGGAAAACAAGTTAACATGAATTAGTGGCTGTCACGTTTTTTTTCTAATTTCTAAATAAAGTCTATGAAATAATTGTTGCAAAAAAAAACAAAAAATATCTATGACGTTATGATCCGGCAAATTTAAAAAGTTCATCAAACATGTGACATCAAAAACTTTTTTTAGTGTTCCTAAAAGGGATGGTGTTATCATGACTTTGACAGTTCGATAAAAATATTTACATGCAGTGACAAATTTTTGTTTAGGTTGTTTCTTTTGGTTAAATTTGGTGATAGTTATATTAAATTTTCGTGTGTTATGTGAAATAAGGACGAGCAATATTCGAAGTTTTTTGTTACTTTGTAGAATTCAGGTGTGTAACACTTCCCTTTTGCAATTATTTGTTTCATAACATGCGAATAGGAAATATGTATAAGTAAAAATTATATATTCGTTAACGACGTTAAATTATTGAGTATGTAAATTTATAATTATAGGTTTAGTTGTAGTGCATCAATACTCTTCCTTTTTAAACACCCTATTGCACTAATAGATATTTTATATTAAGATTTTATTGTATGTATGTATTGTGTTAGAAATATACACACTTTATTATAATAATATTTTTTTATAGAATATTATAAAGCTATAAATTGTGTACATACAATTTGGCAAAATTATTAATAACCTTTTTATAGACAGGTCTCTTTTCGCTCAAGACTTTCTATGAAAAAAATAATAATAATCTACTTAATCAAAATATTTAGAAATTGTACTTAAAATATTTAGAGATTGTATACAATAGCAAAATTATTAACTCTAAGTACAAATACCAAATAAATTTTAGATTAATAAAGCAGCACAACTGGTACTTATATTTAAATTTCTTTTATTATTATTGTTATTAAAGTATATTTTTTGTTGCAGATAATACTGTGAAAATATTAAATGGAACGAATAATGCGAATAAAATTTAGAAACATGTGATATAAGATATTATTCATAATAGACATTTTTTTTCTTAAGATATAAAAAAAAGTATTAATGTAAGCTAAACTCATAATTTGTTAATTATGGCCAGTATTAGATATAACAAGTTAGAATTATTAATAAAATGTATGATAATGTATGCAACCGCACAGTAAGACATGGACATTCTTTATTTGTAAGTATTATTTTAAAATTTATTATTTTTAAGTTATTATGTTTTTAAGTTCTTCATTAAACTTCTACTGTCTTACACAAGAAAAATGGGAAAACTACATTTCTTCTCGCCTTGCTCTCATTACTTTCTCGTGAATATTAATTAATTAAATTAGCAAAATGGTGATAAAAATCCATTAGAATGCAAACTATGAATATTAATGTTATTAATCTTTTTTGTCATCTTATTTCAAATGAATTGTTATTACAAGATAATCATTTAGTAAAATTTTAAAATTAATGATACAAATTGCTTTTAATATAGCGTAACTCTAAGTGAAATTGATGTTTATTGGGGTCTAAATAATCACTTATTCTGTTGTATTGAGAGTGGATGTTATGTTATATATTGTTTTAATATATGGGTAACAAGGTAAACCAAATAAACCTTAACAATAGATCTACATTTTAAGAAGGTTTCATATTTATATCTACATTTTAAGGAGGTTAAATAGAAGATCCCTATATAGAGTTTACACTGTATTTAAGTCAAATATATTATTCTTATTATAGAGGGTTACATTATCTTTTAATCTGTACATTTAATAAAATTCTAACTGAGTCGAATCTGTACATTAAATATTTTTTGGAAAATCTTATTGAAATATTATAATTGACACAGAGGCCCAATCTTTAATTTTTAGAATTTTTGTCTGTCTGTCTATCTGGGAATGGTTCACGAGAAAACCACTGATTTTGATGAAATTTGGTATGATGATAGCTGGTTATCAGGGTCAACATATAAAATACTTTTTACTGCGGGAAAATATCTCATTTCTGAGAAAAATACATAAACTGCATTATAAGAGTAAACTAATATGTAAAACCTAAGAATTGGTTTTCGGTAATCTGAACGCGGGCGGAGCCGCGGGCAATGCTAGTTTTAAATAAAACTATCATTTCGGATATTAAGTACTTTTTACTGAGGGAAAATATCTCATCTCTGAGAAATCTATACTAACTGTTAAAGCGTTCCTAGGGAATAACGCGAGCGGAGCATCGCTAACGCTGGCAATATATGTATATCTATTTAAAACGTACCTAGGGACGAATCCGAGTAAAGCGAGGGTTAGTTTTAAACAAAACTATCTTTTCGGATTTTCTCGCGGATTTATTTTGATTTTTGGGTCCCCGATGTTTCGAATTTTTACAGCAGTCATGGTCATGGGAGTGACTCTCTTTTTAAAATGTCAAGTCGTTATTGCTTAAAATTGTATTGTTCTTTACAGTTAACACTATCAGCTACAGGACCGATCGGGACAAAAGGCACTTAATGGTGTACATGGTGAGTAATTAGTATACATACATATATTATTCCATACCTCTTTTATTGGCCACATTCGATTCTCGTTTGAGGTAAATGTTGCTAGATGTTTGTCCTTAATTTAAGTAAAATTCATTTGTGAGTGAGTTGGTGTAACTGTTTTATGTATATCTTACTCGTTAGAAAATACATCTTAGAGTGATGATATCCTCCAGACCGATTATGGCCACGGCGGCCAATCTCATTGAGATGAGCCAACTGCGCAGAGGATCTGTTTTGTATGGACGTTCGGGCTACAGTTGTGGGGCACTGCCTCCAACTACAACTTAGAAATTGTCCAATGCTTCCAATCAAAGGTTTTGCGCATGGTAGATGACGTGTCTTGATACCTACATAAGATACTATGGACTTCATAATGTCTTACAAATTAAAATAGTTAAGAGTGGAACTTTTAAAATGGCTGAATACGATTCAATACATACATACTTTAATCATTTATTTTATTAAACTAAAAAAATATTAACGCCTCCAGGTAAATTTCTAAGAAATTAATTAAATTTCTAAGAAATCTATTGTTAACTGTAACGCCGACGTGTCCGAGGTCGTGGAGGGATTAATGAACTGCGCAGGAGATATTAGTGCACAAGTGTACGCGCGGACATAAGTGCACTCTCTATTCCTGTCACTCTCATACTCCGGTGGGACGACCGCTCGACACGACCGGTTGAGAGTTAAGGACCAGGACCGACGGCTTTACGTGCTCTCCGAGGCACGGGGGTGAAACACCGCCCCAACTTTCCAACTCCGGGCTGTTACTGAAACTTATTATACAGAAAAACTCAATAACTAAACTTGGCCCGACCCGGGACTCCAACCCAGGACCTCCGAGTGCGCAACCGTACATGCTAGCCACTACACCACCGAGGCAGCCTGTAATAGTATTATATTATCTATGGTTAAGCTATTATTGAGTGGTGTCCCTAGGACATTATTGTTTTGTAAAAATTAACTTCGTCGCTAGTATAATTTACTTTAAATATTTATAATCAATTAAAAACGAGTGCTTCAATAACAATTTAATTTAATCGATTTAATTTATTCGAATACATTTATTACACAGCATTATTCATCCATCACTAGGCGGAGCTTCTCGACCTTGCAATCACTAGTTTGAATCTCAAAGTATCATCACGGGTTCTATAAATGTATCGTATTCTATTTTTTACTCGATTTAAGGTTTTTTTTTAATATTTTTAAACTTCAAAAATAGTAATAGCGCAGTGGTAACGCGTTCATTTGATAAACCAAGCGGGTTCAAACCCAGGGCCTTTTAAAGTTTTTACGTGTACAAATCATTTCAATAAGATTATCATTTGCCTTAAGATAAAGGAAAACATCTTGAGGAAACTTCCATGTCAGAGAGAACCTAACTAGTTTTAGTAGTGACTTGTGGCTTAATCCACCTAGCATTCTTCAATTTGAGCTCGTGCTCGGCTGTGGGACTTTAAAAAGGGCTGAGTATAAAAATATAAAATTTGTATAGATCTGTTTTATTAACCCCCGACGCAAAAACGGGTGTTATAAGTTTGACGTGTTTGTGTGTATATGTGTGTTGTGTGTCTATCTGTGGCATCGTAGCTCCCGAACGGAAGAACCGATATTGTTTATTTTTTGTTTGAAAGATGAATTAGTCAGGAGTGTTCTTAGCTATGTTTGACGAAAATCGGTTCAAGATGGTCGGTTTTTTTTATTTTTTTTTAATTCTTGTAATTAATAAATTAATTACGTTTATTTATTGAAATATTTGGAATTTTAAAATTTTCAATACTTTATTATTTTTATTACAAAAGATACATACCTGCTGTTTTTATGGGAAAGAGTATTATTAGTAGGTATATAGCAAATGGCACTCACCACCGCGATATTACCTGTCAGAAAACAAGATAGTGACTGTGGTAGGTGCATAGACATAGAGAGTGGACTGAGTGTTTCTTTGCCAGCCGTCAGCTAAAAATGGAGGAAAGGCGCGACAGAGACAAAACGAATGTGCGGCCAGAAGTCTTTTGTATTAAATACAATTAATATAGATATTTATAAGCATTTTAGATTCCATTATAATATTATACTTTTTTAATTAATTATAATATTATATTTTTTTTACGTAACATTTATAAATTCAACTTGGAATATAAGACAGATAGATATTGGTTGCACGTTCGCTCTCTCTCTTTCTAGAGGGTGGTCAATTTCATGAGAGTACCTATAATATAATTGCTCAGTCCATTCTCTACGTGTTACATGCCATAGATTATGGGTAAGATTAATAAATTTCAGTATAATTCAACGTATTGTACGCCCTGCGGTTCAAAACTTGACTAAAATATTTGTATATGAATAGTTAACCTATCTACAGAAAAAAAACTTGTTTGAATTTTTTAATTGATAACACTAAAAATCGTCAATAGCTACCCTAAAAAAAAAAAGAAAATCAGTTAACAAACAGAGGAGAAAAAGGTAGTGAACTGTTTTGTCTTTGCCTATTTGTATAGACTAGCATTGCCCACGGCTCCGCCCGCGTTCAGATGACCAAAAACCTAATTCTTAGGTTTTATATATTAGTATACTCTTACATTGCAGTTTTTGTATTTTTTCTCAGAAATGGGATATGTTCCCGCGGTAAAAAGTATTCTGTATGCTGACCCGGATAACCAGCTATCATTATACCAAATTTCATCAAAATTCCATCAGTAGTTTTTCTGTGATGCGGTAACAGACAGCTCCACCTATCGGATCCTAACGACACTATAAGCTATCATTTTTTTAAGATTTTCAGTAGTCACCTACGTCCTACACTATTATTAACCGACGCACAAACGTTTTTTTTATATAAAGATTTATTCTATATCTCCTTTTGTCTGATTTTTGCAGAATCACTCAGTCACAGATGAAGATATAAGCTTAAATTAGTGTAAATTAAAGGCGTGATCGGCGCCATCTTAAATTAACCTTCACCCAGTCTGAAGATGCCTTTTATTTTTTTTCATTTAATCGTGTAGATGTTATGACGTAGGTAGATACCTACTATTAGTATACAGCCTTTTATGTTTTACACCCCAGTTTGAGTGACTTGACATAAAAATTGTTTTGTGAAACAATTCCAAAAAAGGGGAAGACCCGACTTCAAAATATTACACGCATAAAGAAAAAATATATAGTTCTCTTTATAATTTTTGCATCCATTACGTTTTTTGAAAGTTTATATTTTCTTTGTAAATTAACTGTATATATCGTCGGAATCTTTCACCGATTACTCGAAGATACCTGAACCGATTTGGATTTTTTTTTTGTTTCAAAGGGTATATATACTCTTAGGTGGTCCCATATAAATTTAATGAAATTGGTCAAGCGGTTTTTTAAAAAATATGTTATTAAAAAAATTTCTTTTTACAAATTACCTGCTTATTACGTCTACACTAAAAATGGAAAAATAAAAACTTAAAAAAGACCGACTTCCGTTTAGTTATATTTTACATTTTAGTGTCTGAAAGTAGGTTTTTATTTAAAAAAAAATGTTTTTATTAAAGTCTCGCTGAGCACGGACCTTCCTTCAATACAATTATACGATTATATGAAATACGTGATCAGGTCATAGTCCATTACGCAGGCCAAATGCGGTTTAGCTGCATTACTACGAGATATTTCGAAATGACCAATTTTCGCGATCTTGGCCTTGGATGAATTTTATGCAAACATGCATCTGATTTTTGATAGAATTTAGAAATTACTAGCATTGCGTTCAGATGACCAAAAACCAAATTCGTAGGTTTAACATATTAAGTATACTCTTACATTGCAGTTTTTGTATTTTTTCTCAGGAATGAGATATTTTCCCGCGGTAAAAAGTATCCTATATGTTGACCCGGATAACCGGCTATCATCATACCAAATTTCATCAAAATCTCTCCAGTGGGTTTTCCGTGATGTGGTAACAGACAGACAGACAGACAAAAATTCTAAAACCTATAGATTCGGCCTCTGTATCAAAAATAATGTTTATTTCAATAAGATTTTCCAAAAAATGTTTAATGTACAGATTTGGCTTAGTTACAATTTTATTATATGTATAGACTAGATTAGATCATGTTTTGTTATAGATTTTTTTGTTCATTTACGCTCACCTAAAAGAATCGCTTTTTAAAAAAAACTAAAAGCCAGGCTTTTGATAAACTAACAGTTTGGATGTAGTAGGTACAAGTATGGAACTCGTCAAAGTAAGATTTAGAACCAAGTTGGTTCGTCGTTCTAAAGTCTATATATAAATAGGCAAAGACAAAACAGCTCAGTACCTTTTTCTCGTCTGTTTGTCAACCGATTTTCTTTTATTTAGTAGCTATTTACGAAATATAGTGTTATCGATAATGTTTTTATATAGACAGGTCAATTCTATATATATATACGTTTTCCTCAAATCTATTTGTTTGTTTGTTTGTATCGAATAGGCTATGAAACTACTGAACCGATTTAAATTAAATTTGGTAAGAAGATAGTTTGAGACCCTGGGAAGGTCATAGGATAGTTTTTATCCCGGAAATCATCCCTGAAGGGGGTGAAAATGTGGGTGAAAGTTTGTATAGGGAAGCAACCTAGGGACGAACCCGAGGGGAAGCGACGGTGAGTCGCTAGTTATGATCCAATTTCACCACTGGTCGAACACTACTCAGTAAACTACTAAATTGTTACTCACAAGTAAAGCTAATAAAACGTGCTATAACGAACTATCAAGTCAAGGTGGCATTAGTATGTAGGTACAGAAGTATTTCTATACATATAATAAAATTGTAACTAAGCCGAATCTGTACATTAGATATTTTTTAGAAAATCTTATTGAAATATACATTATTATCGATACAGAGGCCGAATCTTTAGTTTTTTGAAATTCTAAGAAAAAATACAAAAACTGCAAGGTTATAGGTACATACTAATATGTAAAACCTAAGATTTTGGTCATCTAAACGCGGGCG